GAACCTCACCCTCTTCAATGAAAACAGACAATCCAAAATCGGTTGCTTTGAGCATAGCATTTTCCTCTTTGCTAGCAAGCAGAAAGTTCTCAGGCTTGAGGTCCCTGTGCATCACCCCCATGAAATGGCAGATATGAACCACATTAACAATGGACCTGCAAATTGAGGCAGCTGCTTTCTCACTGTAATGACCCTTAGCAATAATTCTATCAAACAGCTCGCCTCCAGCGCAAAGCTCCATGATCAAATGAACCGATTGCTTATCTTCATAAGCTCCCTTGAACTCAACTATGTTGGGTTGGCCACTCAAATGCTGCATAATATGAATCTCCCTTCTAATATCATCCTTATCATTTTTGGTCACAAGCTTCCTCTTCGAAATGGACTTACAAGCATATTGCTTACCCGAGGAATTCTCAGTGCAAAGATAAGTCACCCCAAATTGCCCTCTCCCCAATTCTTTCCCAATCGTGTAATGCAGCTTAACATCCTCGAACGGCTTCCCTAGAATCGTATCAGACCTCAAAATATTGTGTCTGGGGCTTTTGGGAGGACCCGATGACTTCGCCGCCGTCGCTTCTGGATGGTAATTTCCCGGCGACCGGTGAGCGTGTTGAGCAGGGGGTTTTGCTTGGTTTTCGTAACGATCGTACTGGGGTGAGTATTTTCCCTTGCTTGTGCAGATGCCCATTTTTTCAGATCAAATCGACTATCCCCTCGCTGAAATTGAAGATCAAAAACTAAAATCTAAGCAAACCCTAGATGGAAGATAGCAAGTAAGAAGGTAATTTTGCTGAAACAGGAGGAAATGGGTAAGAACAGAAATTCAAAAGAAAACTGAAGAAGATTGAACAGGGTTTTAAAGAAGCTTTGGATTCAGAGTTCGATCTATGTGAAGAAGGGATCGAAGCTCAAGGTGGAGATTAATGGAGGCTTTAAGCTGAACCTATGAATCAGAAGGAGTTGAAACTGGTCAATTGTTGTGCATTTTTGAAGGAGAGAAAAAAACGAAGGAAAAACATCTTGTCGACGGCAGCCAGGCAGCCAGCTGATTAAATAAATAATAGTCCCCCCGTCTTGAAAGCCACCAACAATTTCTCTCTCAAATAAATGAGTTTTAAATATTTATCACAAAAAGAGTATTATTTTTAAAAAAACTAAATTGGGTCCTTTTTTATTATTATTATTCTCAATACACTAAGACCATTATTTATTGCAATATGGTTTTTTTGCATTTAATTTCTTTTGTATAAAAATCTAAATACGTTTTTAATATTAAAAGAAAATAATAAATACTCCACTTAAATATTAATTGTGGGGAGAAAGAAGGTTGGTTTAAGATATTTATTTAAACAAATTAAAATATTAAACTGTCAATTTAGTCACTAATTAAAAAAATTTCAAATGAAGTAAATTTATTTTATTTTTTACCATTTTAAAATTTTTAATTTAATTAGAAGCTAAAAGACCATCTCTATATGTTACCATTTCTTTTAGTATAATTGACTCACTGGAATAACCTATAAAATAATGATAATATGTATCCAGAGGTTGAAGACGAGCGCGTGGGAGGCCGTGAGTGAAAGTGCACCTGTGCGCAGACCAGGCGCGTGAGAAACTATCCCCCGAACTTGTGTTGGCGCGTAAGGGCGCATGAGAAATTATTTCGGCTCCCGGTTTGTCCCGTTCAACTCCTTTGGACCTGTCCTATTAAAATTGGTCTATACTTCATGTTGAAATTGGTAAAATATAGATCTAATAAGAAGGAATTGTGTTGGAATACCTATTAAACTCACATTCAAGGGGAAAATGAGTTCGAAACTAAGTAAGTAGCATATCGATCTTTGAACTAGTTCTTAATTTGTTTTACAACATATGAGTATGTTGTTTACCTGATTAAGAACTTAGTATGTTAAAATGAGTTTTGATGATATTGAATGTTTATTGTATATCATGATTGATTGCCTGTGATGTAAGCATGATATAAATGATTACTAGAATGTTCTATGTGTTGAACATAATAAATGTATGAAAGCATGCCGTAAATGTGAGTATATTATGCATGTTAATGGAAATGTTATGACTCTATGATATGCTTGTTGGTTGTTGAGCCATGACTAATTTATATGAGTATGATAGTTTACTAATTCCCACGGAGTTCCTGGCCAACGCGATGTGTGCTAAGTCAGGGAGCATGAGTCTCCTGACCATTGGTATATGAGATAAACAGGCCGCCAGAGAAATTAGTAGACGGGCCGTATTTGACCGAGAGCGAATCTTACATACGAGTCCGAAATTTCTAGATAAGCATATCAAAAAAGAGTTAGTAACCTAAGTTGGAGCTAGTTGAGATACCTCATTAATAAACAGAGAAGATTAGCTAAAACTTAAAAACTTAAAAACTTAAAACACGTGGAAAGATTGGTTATGAACTAATGAACGATAAGCTAGCTACTTACTAGATAATCTAATTACTTATCAAAATTATTTTTAACTTTTCTTTCGAGATTTAGATGATGCAGGCCAACCGAGGACGAGACCAGCGGGTTGGGAATCCATGTCTGGGACTGTTTATGTAATTATGCTTTCGTTGTCAATAATTTACTTTGTTCATTTTACGATTTAAAAAGTACTCGTTTTAAAAGTTTTAATGGATATATTTTTTAAAAATATTTTGAGATTTATAATTGAATATCAGAGTTTGTTATCGTTATCGCTGGTAACTCTTGTTAATCGCATTGTCGATGAGCAGGTGTTACAACAAACACAACAAATAAATACAAAATACATATTATCATTATTTTAGGCTATTACACTAACGTAGCCTATCAAATAGAGAATACCAACTCATTTTCATTTGACATTTCTTCGTCTATGAGTTATATCTCAACCAGTAGATCAACATTGCCACTATACTATAAAGAAATAAATAAAGTAGAACTAGTGTGAAGATAATATTAATAATAAGTATTTTAAATATTTTAAGAAATTTTAAATTATTCTCTCTTTTTTATAATATTTTTTCTAAAAATATCCATAAATATTAGTCTTATATCAAATTAATAAAAATACTCTTTAATCTCCAAAATAATAGATAGGAATATGGCAAATAAATCCATCGTGACACCCATCAAAGGCGTAGTTTTCCACTCAGGAACCATTAGGATCACGATTCATGGATCTCTCGGCTCGAGAAATCAAAATAAGAAGCACAATCCAAAAAACACAATATGTGCTCTGGCCACACCTTTGTAACTCCAAATACCCGGATAAACCCAGTTTGAAGTTAATGGGGGAAATTACACATTCCAACTTTTTACTTTATCTCAAAAATACTTTTAAGATTTCAAATTTTTTAATAATATTCTTAAATATTTTTTAAAAAATAAAAAAATACCTTTATCATTAATTTTAGGGGAAAATAATTAGTGCTTTTATCTCAAAATACCTTTAAATTTTGAGAAGTTTTATTAATATTTTTTCACTCTTAAAAAAAAATAAATAAAATAAATATATACACAAAAACCATTTGTAAATGATTATCTCCAAATATTTTAATTTTTTTTAAAAAAAATTTAAATATCTTTTTTTGAAGTTGGGTGAAAAATTAAAGAATATTTTAAAAATTCAAAAATATTTTTGAAACTAAATAGCAGATTAAAAATCAACTAATTTTTTTTTATTTAGTTTAGAAATATTATTGCAATTTAAAAAAATGTAGAGATATTTTTAGAGGGTGTTTTATTAATTTAGCCTATTTAATTCAACAGAAATCAATATCCGATAGTGACAAAATCAATTGGCTAAAATGACTGAATTTTGAACCAAATTAAATTGGATGAATTTTTAAATTTCAAAACTAATTTTTAATATTTTACTTTGCATTATGTTTATACCATTTATTTATGTTAGATTGTTAAATGATGTATTTGTTTTACTCACATTTTGTATTAAGTAGCGAGTTAATTAAATTTCAAATTAATTTCTTAACATAGACTTATCCTACCAAGCTTAGTGTACATCATAATATAATTCAAATATTTTTAATATAATAAAAAATTATTTCTATATTTTTTAACTTTATCTAATATTCTCGAGTGGAATAAACTTTTAAGTAATTCTAATTTTTATTATTCTATTTGGATATCTTTTACATTATAGGCTCTTTTTTAGTTATACGACTATTTTTATTCGTTTTATTTAAAAGTGAAACTAAATATAATTAACCACGGAATATTAAAACAATATATCTAAGATACTTACTGTGGTAAAAACATTTATTTAATTTTTTACGTGTAAGGCTGTCTAACTTCTTAGAGAAAATAGAGAAAGAATAAAAAGAAAATGTTCATTTAATTAATTTGACATTTAAATATTTTAAAATAGAAATAAAATCAGAGATTTAATTAATATAATTATAAAGTTTTCATAGCCATGAAAATAATGTTTATTGTCTGTGTCGCTACGAGAAGCCCACTAAACTGTAGAATTATGATTCGCATGTTACTGTCTTGTCTCTAATCATTGGCTTTACTCGATATAATTTACCCGTGGGTTTCAGTCGTTCACCTAATTGTCACGCAGTGACATGTTCTCACAGTGGAAGCAGCTTGAACAGTATATCAACAGTCAATTGGTTTGGGGTCAAATAAGATACAATGGAGGGTGCAAATTGATACACTTGTATATAAAAAAAAGTTTAACGTTCGAATTGATACAATCTAAGGTTAGGGTATATGTCAATTTTTTTGCCCCGTTCAAAATATTTGATTGTATTCAAAACCGAAAAAAAAAAAATTGTCCCATAATTTATCTATACATTTTTTATTTTTTATATTTACAATTTTATTGTTTTACTGAAACAACAATATTTAAATACACTAATTTTTTTTTTCTCTCTCAAAATAATTTAAAAATATTTATGAAAATTTAAATGGGGGCAGAAATTGTAGATGCTAAAATTGGATGCTTTGGCATTAGGTATTTATTTATTACGTACTAAAAAGGAGACGTTTTTTGTGTATTGCAAAGGCGTTTAATTCTCTAATCGTTATCGCCGAACAGTATCTGAGGTTCTCAGTGCGAAGAGTGAAGAGGAAAGCGGGACCTAGACGATCGGACAGAGATGGCTTGGTGTGCTGCTCGGGCTCTTCACATGCCGGCTTTGGACATCACTGCATTGCGCTCCAAGACTCCCTTAGCCGTCGGCGTCGGTTGTGCTTCGGTGGCTGGAACCACCTTTTGCCGATCTTCCTCAACTTCCAAGCGCCAAATTCCCTTCGCATCCCTCGGCATTTCTACCGATACTAGTACGCCCTCGTTTTTCTGCTTATATCCGATCGATTCCTCTTTTTTCGTCGATCAATTTTCGCTATGGATCAGTGATATCGGTTTTGTGTTGTCCTTGACTCTTGTTTTGTCGAAACCTCGATGGATTTTGTAGGGTTTAGTTTGTATTTCAGCTCAGTAGCTATTAGAACTTTGAAATCTGAGCGTTCTTTGCGATTAGGTATAAGCTTGGTGATTATTCTATTCACAGCGTTAACTTAGATTGGAGGATCTTTTTGGTATCCCCCCTTATGTAGAAGGGTCTCCTTGTCCCTTGGTCCGCTAGGCTGTTTTGGTCGCTTAGGCGTATTTATTCAATGGACGTGTTGAATTCTTTCCTATATATATACATATAAAGTAATGCGGAAGATAATTCTTTGGAGGCTTTCTTTTTCATAGTTCCAACTTTCGGGAAGAATCAAATAATTTTTCTTTTCTAATTTTCTTTTTTATGAATGCTTATAACAGATGCATAACCACCCCTTACTATCAATTTCTTGGGTGGCAGGTATCAAGGAAGCTGTTAAGACTGACAAGGCTCCAGCTGCATTAGGGCCATATTCTCAGGCTATCAAAGCTAACAACCTTCTCTTTGTGTCTGGTGTCTTAGGTTTGAATCCTGAGGTAGCTTCATTACTTTATTATTGTTATTTTCTATTTGATAGTGTATATGATTTGATTAAGGGAATGTTTGGGAGTGGTTTCTCTTATATCATGCCGTTTTGAGTGGTACAAGATGATTTTGGCTATTCCAAAATCACTCCAATTCATTCCCTAAGTGGGTTTTTGGATGCTGACTAGGGCATAGCTTGGAAGGTTGAATATTTAAAAATATTGGTATGAAAAAAAAAAAAAAAATACAGAAGGATGGAGTGGGTTTCATTGTGTGCGCATGTTCGTGTTATTGGGCTGCCTAATAGAGTGTTTATCTTCATGTTCCAATACAGACAGGGAAATTTGTCTCAGATGATATTGAAGGCCAGACTGAGCAGGTAATGTTCATTTAGTAGGGTAGTTGCTCGTATCATGTCCATGTAAATTGAACTTTTGAGCTGGATATAAAAAATTATAAGTCAATGGAATTTGCAGGTCCTAAAAAATATGGGTGAAATATTGAAAGCTGGAGGTGCCAGCTATTCTTCCGTGGTCAAGACAACTATTATGTACGAACTTTTGGCCTCTTTTCTTTCTGATCATAATATCTTCTCTCTTTAATTTAAATAAGATCTGAATAACTAAGGAGTTGATGGTAATTGTTTTAAAACATGGTTTTCTGCTTTTGTATACTTTTAAGAACAATTTTTTGAGTGACTTATTAAAGTTAAGATAATTGTCCACAACAAACACTATTTACTAGTTATTCTGCTTGGTTCTATTTTCCATTTTTATGTTTATTCTATTTATTTAACCTTATGCCTTAACCCTGTACGCTTTGTATTAAAAATCATTTGTCTTTTTCATTAGTTTTGCATAATTCATTTCAGAAACTTGACAAAGTATACCTTTTGCCAATTTACTTGATGAGTAGATTCACGAAAGTATTTAAAGCTAGATCAAGATGTTAGTCATTCTTTGGGTTCAAAATGGACAAGGATTTCGTTAAATAAATTGTTATAATTAAATTTATAACAATTTAATCCTACCATGAAAAATCTCATAAAAACTAAGTGCCAGTTTTTATATGTAATGATTTAGACTTTCTAACTTATAAACACATTTGGTCGCTTTTTAGTTTTTTAATTGATATATGTAAGAAATTCCATTCCATCCTTATAGTATTTTTCACAGTAAGCGACTAAATGGTCTCTTGAAAAACTTGACTAAACTATTCCAAGTTTTCAAGTATAGGGACTAATGGTTACATATATAAGTTGAGAGATTGAATTGTTTGAAACTAAACTGTTACAAACTAAAACATAGAGACTAATTTGTTACTTTTATTGAAGTTCGAGGACCAAAAGTGTTTTTTAACATCCACTTAGTAATCTTTTTAGTATTGAAAGTGTCTTTCAGAACATTCCCACGTTTTTCCTGTGATTCAGTTCTTTCTTCGCAAATCTTTCCTGCAGGTTGGCTGATCTGAAGGATTTCAAGAAAGTTAATGAGATTTATGGTAAATGTAAGTTTCGTTAGACTGAACCTCTAATCTCTCTCTCTTATCTAATGCTGAGCATTTAATTTAGATATGCCTTTATGATCACTCTCTATCCCCATTACAGTTCAACTTTAGTTTCTAGAATATAGTTATCTGAGTGAGTTAGAAAATTACAACTTGGATAAATTTTGTATATGATTCTACTTGGTGAAAAAGATGAACTTTTCTTTTTCGCTTTTTATCTGGCTGTGTGATATCTACTACTACTTGGTGGTCTGGTTACTTTGATACATTGGTTTGTGGTTTTCTTTTGGACCAGTTATTGTGGGTCAGATCATAACAAGTAGATGTTTCATTTACTGAAGGATAATTTAAGTCCTGGTGAATTTGTGATTCTATCTATGTTGAGATAAGGATGCATTCTTCACTTTTACAGACTCCAAGCTCAAGTTGAGATTATTTTCACATTGTCTTATTTGCCACTTTTTATGCAGACTTTCCATCCCCTGCTCCTGCTCGGTCAACATATCAGGTTGCAGCATTGCCTTTGGATGCCAAGGTTGAAATTGAGTGCATCGCTACACTTTGAGATCTTACCTAGTTACAGGTACCCACCCAGCTTTGAAGACATCATAAATTAATAAGATGGAGATAGCAATCACGGGAACACCCCAAAATCCCATGTGGCTTTTGTATTCCCTGAGACTTTCTTCTTGTTACAGTAGAGTGTAACCGCTTGACGGTCAGTGCTTTTTAGCAGTGAAACTTGAAGTTAGATGAAACATATTGATATTGTTGTTGCCTTGAGTTTTGCAAAATAAGCATCCAACAGGTCAATAGATAAGAGTAGAGAAAACCTTGGAATCCACTTATCCGTTTAGCTCCTCTTCCAAAAAACCAACTTTCTTTCCATTGAACATAACCAAGCCTAAGAAGATTTGGCGTTTAGGGATTTTAGCCAGAAGTCATTGAAAATTCTTCAGGATGGTGCTTCACAAGAAGTGCTTTATTAAAACGTTTGTTGGTCTCTCTGGGTTTAGAGCTCAAACTCCGAAGGCGTCCATCATAAACTGTCCAATTCTTCCAAAGACATCCTCTCTCTCTCCCATTCCTGCCCTGCCCAGCCCAGCCCAGCCCAGCCCAGAAATAAGAGACACCGGTACATCTTGATGAAGAGTGGCGGCAAGACGGACACTCCCAATCAATCACGTGGAATTGCGACGGGATGGTGCACTCGCCTAGGCTTTGATTTCTCAAACAAATTGGGGTGATCGATCATTTGGAATTGATGGATCATTTTGGGTTCGTGCTGAAAGAATTGATAAACTCAATTATATATTTCTAAATCAAAATATAATAAATGATATATATATATGAACACTATCATACATAAGCTCATTTTAGAAGTAATTTTGTGAATTTTAGCTACTCAAAGCAAACGTCTTCTCACATTTGATCTTCCATTTCTGTTGTGACTTGCTATTATTAGTGGTGTGAACTCAAATCTCAGTGTTTGATCAAACTCTGAAGTCTTCATATAAATTCTCTAAAACCCGTGTTGTTTTAGTGATATCTTCTAGCCAAACTTGTCAGGTGTCTTAGAAATACACTTTTTGAGATAAAATAACTTCATGTTATAATGGTTTTTTTTATCATTTTTTTCAAGATCTGAATTGAATGATAACAATTTTGTATATAATATTTGGGACACAATTAGTTTAACATTAGTCAAATTAGCATTCTTAAATTGTAGATAAATGTTTTTGCTATTTTTTCTTCAGAATCAATTATTTATTTATTAAAGACGATGAGAATAAATAAACTCAAACTCAACTAACAAACATATAATAAAGTTGGAGGGTTTCGAATAATCAGATTGAACTAAGAAAAATGGAAATACGAAAATACTTTTCCTTCAATTTTAACATTTGAGGTTTTATTCACTTTCCTTTTTTCTTCGTTGGCTTCTTGGGAGTACGAGAAGGAAGTCGAGGTATTTTTCCTAGTTTCAATTCAGACAGAACGCTATCGGAAGGCAAATCTGCGTTCATTTTCCCTACAAACTTCTGCCGCAGAGCATCATCTTTGTCGATAGAAGAACATAAATTATGGGCGTTCTGTAATCTCCGTGCAAACGGTGCTAGGAGGAAAGATAATGTCGAAGCTTTTTAAGAAAATTGCCGGCTTCTTCACCGACAGAACTCTGATGGGAGTGGACAAAGCAGGAAACAGATACTTCTTTGTAAAAGAAGAAATTGATGGCATAAGTAAGTAGCTCTAAATCCCCTTAAATTGCTCATTCTCATTGTTCCATAACTGCTTTTGATCGGAATGAGGATCTTGTTCTGTAATTTGTCTTACATTTGGCGTTGTGAGATTCCGACTGAGTTTTTGCTTCTTTTCGTTTCTTTTATGGATTTCCAGTTGCATTCACCAATTTTAAGAACTGTCGGAAGTCTGAAATTACACAAAAGTTAACAGCTAATCTTAATCCATGGAAAGCCAATAATTTCCCAAGAAAACTGTTCAACTCTCTCTTCTGCTTGAGGTTTCAGCTCTGTGTGCCTTTGCAATTGAATTATAAAATTTTAATCATTGGGGCCTTTCCCTTTATCTTAGTCGACATTAAATGGATGTTATTCCTGAGATATAAAGAGCAAGAGCACTCATGATTTAGCTTGATTGGTAATTAGCTGCCTTTCTTATACAGTGAAACTTTTATTACTGTACGTATACAGCTCACACAACTTTTACTCGTTGGTTTGCTAGTGAAAGAGAAGAGATGGGTGGTTTTTAAGGGTGAGGATGATCCAACTTCAATTCCAGGTATGCATTTATGTACCTATAGTTAAAATTTAAGAGAAGGCCTCTGTTATTCAAATCATCTGATTACGTCGTGTTTAAATTAGGGTTTGAAATATTGGGTAAATTATAAATTTTATCCGTATAGTTAGGAGAAAGTTAGAATTTAGTCGGGATGATTTTTAAAGTTTGAACTTCGTCTTTATGATATGGTAAAACCTCATAAATAGTTTTTATGATTTGATATTACCCTCATAAATGCTTCCTCCTTTGAAGTTGGATATGTAGTTTAGGAGGGACTCGACATGCTGGTGGTAGGTTTTTGTGATGATGATTGCTTATATTTGCTGCAGTGGAATGGATATGTTGGTTAAATGGGCAGCGTAAAAAGGCTCCAACTCCAGAGGTAACTTCTTCCATGACCAACCGGATCTCTTTGCATCCCCCTTGATTGGCCTGAAGAATGTTGATTGGTGTGCTACTCTTGATTTAATATTTAGATGGTTCTTTTGTCATTGTCTTCAGGAAATGATGGAGCTAGAAGCTAGGCGTGAACGCGTACGACAAAATGTTGCCTGTAATGTTGACTCTTCATGCCTCTTATTCCTTTGTTGTTCATGATGGAATATTTTACAATATGCATTTAGAACTTTCAACTTCTCTCTATGCAAATTGTAACTCATATACATACAGGCAGAAAGGGATGAACTGCATTGTGCCTAAAATGGCCAAATATAAGAATCTCCAAACATATTCATATCTGAGAACTGCTTTTTGTACGAACTGATCGTGAACTTTATAATCTTACTTAAAGACTTAAGAAGCATGGATATGGATGCAAGCCACAAACAACATGACATACCATTTAAAAAAAATCTAGGACACAGACATGAAAAAACACGTTTATTAGAATATGCAATTTTATAATACATATCAGTTTTATACTAGAAAGAACTTCAAAATCAATAAGATTATGCGTTTATATGCTTGAAAAATGAGTTTGATGTTTTTTACTCTCAAAATTTATTATTTTTGTACTATATTATTATGTGTCTATTTAGTATACTTTACGAGTGTTTGATACATGTTTAACAAATGTTGGATCTATATTGGTTTTGTACAACAACTAGTGTCAGACTCATGTATTGTACTTAGCAAATATCCAATATGTGTCCAACAAGTGTCGAAGTGTCTGACACATGTTAGATATGGTACATGGACACGCTAGCTAAATAAATTGTCTCGGCTTCTTAGCTTAAGACATTCGTTCAAAATTATTTTTTTCTGCCTTATATCTTCTTACAAGATGGTTTATGCTTCCAGTTGGAATTCATCTAGCTCAACTTTTTTTCTGTTAACGAATTCATATTTCTTTTTATGAGATACAGAACCGGATCAGCATTTGATTAGCAATTGAAGTTCAAATTTTAATTTTGTTTGATTCTTTTTGAAGAGCCAATATCATTCTCGTTCTTTGACTTAACAAGGTCTTATTGGAAATTTGTATGTCTAATTTAGTACTCAAGAAAGAAGAGATGGAAAGAAAATCTAAAGAAAGCAATTTACGGAAAGTCGTTAGCACTGGTGAGTTGCTTATTTACTAACTCAAGTGCTTGTTACTTGGAGCATATTACTAACATTCTTTTGCTGCATGGGTCAAGTTGCAGGTCCTAACTTGAAAAGCTTTATTCGACAATTTCCAACTGGTTCAGAAGGTATCATATGATCTAATAATGTATTTTCTTACCCCTTTATTTCCTCTTGGTCCTCCCCCCAAGATAAAAGAAATGTATTTGCTTCAATACTTAGAATAGGATTTTCTTAATGGCTATATTGAGATAGAAAGAAGCCGAGGTTCCCATTTGTATCACTTGCAAAAGCATTTGGTTTAAGATAATAATTTAGAATGATCTTAATTTTCTTCATTTGGTTGATTACTTTCTTGTATTTCTTCTGGTCACGTATACCTCACTCTCTCCCAAACTGATAGTCCTTCATTTCATTTCGATCAGAGTTTATTTTATTGATTTGATGCATATAATCGTTCATTCATTTTGGTTTTTCTTGCACAAAGGTGCTCAAGACAACGAAGGATCGGCTGCAAAGGATAGCCTGAGGTAGGTCATTCATTTTGAATGTCATAACCATTTAACTTTTTACTCAATAAAAAGTTTGAATGTACTTTTCCATGTTGTTCGCCTTTGCCAAGTGACTTGTGATCTTTTAGCATTTGTTTTCTGTTAAAAACATCTAAAGTTTTCTTATGCAATGTATTTAATTTATAATCAATGTGCTTAAATTTAGAGAACTGTTCCGTACTTGTAATATGGATTTACCTTTGCTTCAACTACCAGGAACTCAGAAGAAAATGAGGCAGCTAAAGAGAAACCAATTCCAGAGTAAGTGGATGTTTCTTTCTTTCTGCTCTCACTCAACTTATTAGTCATAACTATCAACATTAGAGCCATAGTATTCATGTTAATATTAGATAAGAGGAATTCTGAAAGTTGGCGATGTTTTACATGACTAAAGATAAAAAAAAAGGTACCAGCTGAATCATGTATCAAAAAGTTGCCACATTCTTTCATTTTCAGGTCCTCCGAGCCCATGGGATCTGGTCAAACATTCAGACCAGGAACGTGGCAGCCTCCAACATGAGTGCTGATGCTCTTCAACTTCAAGAGAAGAACTCTCCAACCCTTGAACTAGCAGTACAAGACTTCTGTATCAGCAATTTTGTATGCTTCCGTTTACTCAACATTCAACTTTTTCCGAGGGACGCTCTTGTCTTTGACTCTTGCACATCCTGCCCTCCATTGTTCTAAACACAAGGTTGCCACTCTGCGTCGCCTTGGTTTCAAATGCTCATATAGTATTTGGTGAAAGCAGGATAACTATAGTTTTTTAAATGAATATCCCTAAAGAATACGTGTCGGTAGCTGCATTGCTGTAGACGAGTCACCATGGGATAAATATCTCAATATTGATTTAACCCA